GGCAGAGGGACATTGAGGGAGAGAGAAAATGAGAGAGAGAAGGGAGGAAGAGGAAGGGAGAGAGAGAGAGAGAGAGAGAGAGAGAGAGAGAGAGAGAGAGAGAGAGAGAGATTGATTTTGATTTGATAAATGTAGAGAACTGAAGAAGAGATATAAAACAAATAGTAGCAGAAGAATAAGAAATAAAGCCAACAGCACGTAACAAGAAAGCATAAGAAAAGGGAGAGAGAGAGAGAGAGAGAGAGAGAGAGAGAGAGAGAGAGAGAGAGAGAGAGAGAGAGAGAGAGAGAGAAAGAAGAGAGAGAGAGGAGAGAGAAAGAGAGAGGGAGAGGAGAGAGAAAGAGAGAGAGAGAGAGGAGAGAGAGAGAGAGAGAGAGAAGAGGGAGAGAGAGAGAGAGAGAGAGAGGAGAGGAGGGGAGGGAGGAGGAACGACCTGGGGAAGACTAAGGGGAGAGAACCCAGGTGTGCTTCTTGTATGACGAAGATCTGAGAGATGCTGGTAAATACTGATGCGATGGTATTGAAATTCCGTCGATATTTATCTCTTTCAAATAAATTGTTTCATCGCGCTTCACGTTTTTTTTCTGTCTCTCTTCTTTTTTTTCTCTTTTCTTTTTTTCTTTTTTTTTTAGCCTTTACCTGTGTGTTGATTTTTGTTTTTTCTTATTTCTTATTGATTTGCTTAACCGCACACAAAAAGTAGTCTAATCAATGTATTCGATATAATAATGTAGGTAAATAATCTTTTTATAAATTTATTCACACCGTTGATTATAAATATTTCAAGTATTTTTATGCTTCTTTTTTATTTTAGTTCGGTTAGTATTCCAATAAAAACAAATCTGCAAAATGAATAAAAGGCACCATCACTAAAACGAACATTGAAGATAAGCATTGCACATAAACAACACGTAAGACTCTTCAGCCATACTAACCTGAAGTTGCATAAATGTTGCATGCACTCAAAACAGTACACGTGATCCATTTAACTTAAAGGACCACGATATGAAAAGTAAACACAGTGTAGAAGCATATTTTGTAAGGTATGTTTTCTTTGTTGTTGTCATTGTTTTCTTTCTTTTCTGTTTTTGTAAATGGAGATTTGTATCTCTTTTGGAATGACACGGATATGTATGATTTTGGAAGATGTAAAGGTAAGTATGAATGAAAATGTAACTTAGGGGAAGATGTGGGCGTTGGGTGCCAGTACATGATTGCATTGTGTCTACAGCATTTTAGGTTAATGCGCAGTAAGGTCAGGGAAAAGTTGTCCGGAAATGAACTCCTACGGCAACCTAGAAAGGTCTTTGTGTGACCTGTTCTGACGACCTTGATAGTGTTCAAAAGTCTTCTGAATGAAAATTTGCCTGATTGTGAGAAACTTTTTTGCGTGAGAAATATCCGTAACCATTTCTATGGGTGACACACTTTTGTGAGTTTTTGAAACGAAAAAATACTTTCCTTTCACAAGACGTGTTGCTCAACACGATGTCAAGAATTGCTCTCGCCTTTGTTGCAGAGTTGCACATAGTTGCATTTCAGTATGTCGACGAAGATATTCCAGAAAACGACCGTCATTCCTGAAATATCGACTTTCAATAGAAAACCTTAAAAAAAGAATGAATATTTTAGCGAAAACAGCGAATCACATGACACAACATTCTCGACTCCGCTAACAGAAATCGCACGGTGTTACAGGGCAGTTAAGTTTTCTTTAAGTACGTTTCAAGTGTACATTGACTTTCCAGCACTTGTTGCTTAGTGCCCGCTCCTCGAGACACTGGCAATGGCTGTTGCAGTATGAGGGTTGTTAGAAGTTAAAGAAAATATGATAAAGTTGTATTTGAATAATGGTATTTGCTTTGTCTGCGGGGTAGTATTGTATTAGTGTAATTATGTCTATGTAGTTTCATCCATGTTGAATAGCTGTTGAGTTACATGAATTCTAAGGAGTAAACGTTGGATATAATACAATAGGTAAATGCCTGTGGGTCCGCCTTCATGTGTTTGACAGTCATTGGTAGTTATATGGTCATTATTTACACCATCTGTCTATAGCATGTCACTTCCCTATGGTTTGACAACACGCATGAAAACAACCGAAAGAAAGCAGTAAAATTTCCTGCTTAGAAGCATACAGCCCGACCTACTTCGTCGGCATCACACTCCCTCTTAAGATAAAGATTTTTCCTTCCGTGCCGAGATCTGGAGCAAGTAAGTCCCTTCCGAGAAAGAAAAAGAAAGAAAGAAAAAAAGAGGGAAAAGGAAAGCATACATTATTATCCACATATTGACGCGCCTACCCAAGATCCTCTGACCAATCAGCGACTCGCACGCGCCCTTTGCTCGCGCCTGCCTGGCTCTCGCCCGCTCATTAGTGGAAATATGACGCCTGGAAATCTAATTGGACGCTTAATGAAGGCATTTCCTACCGCCCGCCGCCGGTGCGTGATAATCCATTTTTTTCTCTCCCCACGCGTTGCAATCTCGCTGCATAATCCTGGGCGGGAGAGAAAGGCGCGTGTGTTACTGCGTCCCTAATAAAGCTCGGCATTATCCTGATACAGTAAATTTACCGCAGTTCCTCGTGTGTGAGAGAAAGAGCACGGGCGGCAAGCGGTATCTGGCAACTCTCATTCCGGCGGCGATGACCAATGGCGACAAAGACGAGGGAAGCGAACAATATTGCTAGCGTTCGCGCAAGAAAGTAAATTATGTCCCTTCTTCACATCTGCTACACGAGAAGATGCCGGGGAATGACTTTTGCCTGGAACTTTAACGAGGCGAGATTTCTCAAGTGCCCTTATCTTTAGAGTGCGGGGAGTTTATTTACTTAATAATATTTACCCGCCTGTGTTTCCCCCGCCATGTACATCTCCTGGTCACAACTGCACATTACGTTTATTAAAGAGGGTCAGCCGAGAAGTCCGATATGTCATTTCCTTCTT